GGCTTATAGAAAGAGACCTTCTAAAAACGTTAAAATGTATGACTGGCCCGCGAAACCTTAAATTTATAAAATAAATAAATGAAGACTTGGCACACCACTTCTGAAAGGTCGCCGACCCCTGCTTTAGCATGTTAACTTCATTGGATGGTTTATGTGACATAGGAGATAGGAGCCCGCCTTTCCTGTCTCCACAAAAGCTGCTGCTGCCGCCATTTTTGCAGCAGGGTTTTTTTCGTAAACGAAGGGTTTCTAATTGTATTTGATTTCCAGCGTGGAAATCACCCAGCTGGAGGCCTCTGTGGCAATTAGAAATAGTAGCTGTTTTTGCGAGTGTGTAGGTGTGAGGGAGATGTTAAAAAATCCATTGCTGCCTCTAAATACTTAACAAATGTGGCCAGGTCAAAGCCTTCCAGCTTCATTGTTCAAACTATGGAAACCTAGGTTTGGGGAGGGAGGAGGGGAGAGCTTTTCTTTCTTCAGCTGGCTTTAGTCATTGTTGTTGATTCAGTTTTAATTTCTCTTTTGGCCGTACGCTGTCAGGAGGAGAGTGCAGAATCTTTCTTGCTCATAGGACTTGCCATACCAGATAAGGCCAGGGTCTATCTAATTCAGTATCCTGTCACTCACCAGCACTAATACCAGCTACTTCAGAGGAAGGTGCAGGAAACCCTGCAGATTTGGCATAACCTGCCTCCAGGGAAAGCATCTTCCTGACCCCCATTAGTTTTTCCGTCTTGCTCTGCAGCATGGGGCCTGGGATCACCTGCTGTGATCATCTCGGTATATCTCACCGCATCAGTTCACTGCTGTTGCCGGAGCCTTAGGCATTGGTGGCACCTGAGTCTCTCCTGTTCTTCGCCTGTTTCTCTCCTCTCTAAAGTAAACGCTCCCAATCTTTTCAGTCTCCTTTTTCTTTTTTTGGGGAGGCGGGTGTTGAACTGCTATTTTGAGGAGCAGGAAGGTTAACAGGCTGCACTGGGCATTTGGGCACTGTAGAAACGCCTGTTGAGCTGGGCTCCTCCCTTCTCTTCCCCGCAGGTGTGTTCTTCACCTTTCACACCTTTCATCTGGAGAGCGGCCATGACTACCTGCTCATCACCGAAAATGGCAGCTTCACCCAGCCGCTGAAACAGCTTACCGGGTCCCGCCTGCCTCCCCCCATCAGCGCCGGGCTCTTTGGGAACTTCTCCGCTCAGATCCGCTTCGTCTCGGACTTCTCCATGTCCTATGAGGGATTCAACATCACCTTCTTGGGTAAGAGCAAAGACTGATTCTTGTCACAAATTGAGTTTGCTGGCGGGAAGTGCCTTGGAGATCAATCCTCTGCCTAGCCACATTCACGCCACTGATGCACCTGAGCCCTGAACTGAAGTGCTTCGAGGACTTCTACAGGGTCCCTCTCCGCATGATCGTTCAGTCCTGGCTGCTGTACAATTTGCAATCAGGGTGACCTGAGCCAAGATCGAACTGATGACCAAATATAAAAGGCCCATTCCCCTGAGCCATCTGATGATGATGATGATGATTAATTTTATTTGTATTACCATAGCTCCTAGGATCCCTAGACAGGGACCAGTATCCATCCATCCATTCTTCATTTTAAATCAGAAATTTTAAGGGATATTTCCCTTTTTTTTATTTTATTCCGTGTCTTCTGATCCATGCAAGCACAATATTAATAAAAATGTACCTGTGTAATTATATTTCTTCATTCTTGCATGGCATCAGCCAGTGGACTAAATCTGTTGAAATTAAATCCCTCTGCACTGGTATTTATCATCCCCTCCCAACTGGCTTTTTGTTTTCTCCTCTGTTCCTGGGAACCCAGTTTCCTCTCTGTTTGCAGCCTTCCTTGCTCCAAATACCCCCATTCCCGGAATACTAAATCAGAATCACTGCTAGGGCACAGCAGGTCCATTCTCAGCCCAGGAAGCTGTGGCAGATGGGATGCCTTAGAAAGAGACTCTAAGTAATCCGGACTCTTTGGAGAAAGGAGCCTAGCTGGTCATTCCTGTCCCCTGGCTGGTCTCCTGGTACATTGGTCCTGTGCCCTGCTCATATGCCAAGGGCACTTCATCAAGCCAGCTGCAGCTGGTTCTGGTTGATCTTAGAGAGAATACATGTCTTGCAAAGCCTCAGCCTTTAGATTAGCCTGATGGCATTGCTGGGAAGCTGGAACGGTGCATTTCTTTGCTCAAGAGGTTGTAATAAGAGAGTCGCTGATAGAAGCAGGCACCCTGGAGCCTAGGAGGGCATTAAGGGATGTAGAGCTCTGAAACGGCTTGGGCCTGATGCTTCTATTCATCTCAGTGGAGCTGGCGGGCGCTAAGCGCTTTGCTTTATTCATTACGTGTATCACAGTAGCATCTACGGGCTCCAACCGAGTCTGGGGTCTCACTGTGCTTGGCTGTGTATAAACCAGTAAGAGACAGCCCCTACCCCAAAGAGCTTACAATCCATACAAGAGGGACAAAAGACCGAAAGTGAAACTGAGGCACAGAGAGGGGATGTGTCTGGCGTTAGGTCACCCAGTAGATCAGTGACAGAGCCAAGAACAGAACCAAGCTCTCATGATACCAAGTTCAGTCCCCTACCCACCAGACCAGGCCACCTTCCTCGCAGGGTCAGGTCCCATGTAATTGTACAGTAGACTGGTTTCCCTAAGACCAAATTTCACATATACAAACATCTGCTCTGCCCGCAAAATATACCTGGTGCCGCTAGATAAAGACCTTAGCAGATGCATATTTGCATATGCAGAACAGGTGATTGCACATGCAAATGGTCACTTGACTTGTGTAAGCTCCCTTTACAGTGTGGAGGTGGGTGATTTGCACTTGCCCATCTGAACACGTGGCCGTGATTTCTGGTGTGTTTGCCCAGGTGCGTATTTTGATGGCACTGCATTTTGAAAATACAGTTGCTGCTGTCTGGCTCCTCAGAAGCCTCATGCATTAGGGTAGACTCTGTACAGAACAAAATCACTGTTCTATATCTTATCTGTACCTCCTCGGCTTTGAGGGCAACAGCTGCAAAATACCGCCTGATGGGGCGAAAAGTGACAAAAATTGTGGCGATAATGCCTGATGCTGTGCTTGCAGTTATTTCTCTAGGCATAGGTAGCTAGTGTACCTTCGTGCGCTGCTATGGATGGGGTAGAAAACAAAGCATTGATTTTAAATACTTGTATTAGGTTTCTGAAACCAGGAGTTCAAGTCTGTTCAGCCTAAACCCCCGCAGCAAACAGAGCTAGTCAAAAAAGTTTTCAGTCACATTTTGATGAAAAATGGCTTTTGACCAAACAGAAATTTGCACAAGAATGTGTCCCTCTCTATCAATATTTTTCAGGAGTTTTGTCAACATTGTTTTTTTTTCTGTTTGTCAGCTAAAAATGGGAATCCACTATATATATTTTTTTTAATTTTTGGTTGTCATAAACTAAATAACTTGTTTTGAGGGTTTTCTTTTTTAACGAAAACCTGAACAATTTGTTGAAAAATGTTTGTCTTCAGAATGTTTTGTGGCAAATGAAATATATTTTCCAACCTGCTTTAACAGCAAATGCCCTTCCGGTTAGCAGCTTAGCCATTCTTCCATGGTCCCTTAGCAGGATGTTTTGTCTCATTCACTCTGTGGATTAGCAATTCAGAAGCAGCAGAAGTCCCAGTCGCATGAATCCAGCCTCATTCCACTAAAGCAAATAAAGTGAATATCAAGCAACTTACTGTATGTGTGTCTTTCTGGATGACACTTTTAAAAGCTAGCTCTAAATGGAGCAGACAGGAAGTCAAAAATCTCTATGGCATTTTACAGAAGTGGCATTTTTGCCCCGGGTTTCCTTGGCTCAAGTTCCTCACATCCTGTTTTGCAAGGTGCAGCATGTCAGTTGGCTTCTGGATTCCACCCCAGAGGTGGGTGCATTTCAGTGGTTTCTGCAGTCTGTCGGGCACTTTACGCCATCATTTCAGGATGAAAGGTGTGACAGTAATGTAGGGTAGGTGCTGTCTCCAGGCTGACTGAATAGAGCAAGTGTGAGAGAGAGCAATGCAGACTTGAATACAACAAGGGTGCCAAGGGGGGCTCTTGGGAAGAAGAGAAGATGGGAAAGAACTATTGGATTTGACTTCCCATGTCATTGACACCCGTCCAATGGGAGAAGAAAATGTCTCCATTCTGACTTGGTACCATTGGTGATGTTGTGCACTCACATGAATCTGGTGTCAATGATGGAGAATGAGGCCCAGTGTTGGGTTAAATCTAGAGCACTGTTGACTGCTCCCCTAGGATGAAACTCACCCCTGTTTTTGAGGGTTTAAGTGGAACTTGCGTCTTGCGCTGGCCTGGTGCCGGCCCCTTTGCCTTGGCATGAATTACACCCAGGCTGCAATCATAACACCGAGCACTGTTGTCATCAGTACATCATTTCTGTAGCTCCTTGTGGGCGGGGGAGGGGAGCCTGATGAGTCACCCCCTAACGCAATGTCCTCATACCCCTCCTTAGAGTACGACCT